CGTTAATCACTGTAGTGTCACACACTTGGAATTAGGACAAACCCTGCAACAGCCTCTTTGACGTTGGTGCAGTGCCCAGCAATGTCGCAGCAAATGTACATGTATCAAATTTGAAATTGTTGATTATATGTAAAACTTGCGTCAATGCTGATACACAGACCCTGGTGCAGCGTTGTTCAGCCCCGCAGCAACAACAAAGCATCAACGATGTACCATCAGGTCCACCAAAATTGTAGATAGTAACAGCACTGCTGCCTCCCCGACTCCTCAAGCTTGAGGAGCTTAAGCACAACCAGCACCGCGTCCCTCTCTCATTCGCAAAGATCGACAATTCCATCCAGGCTTGCTTTTACGTTTTACCCTCAAAAACGTAAAATTGCAGAAGCAGTTAATTTTGCGGCTGTATTTACGTTTTCGCGGCTCGCTGGGACACCTAGTTTACACGATGAAAGTCGCGTACAATGATCAGTCCTCCGCCCCCTGGAGCATGAGCAACATAGCGCCCACCTAGCCTACGGCAAGAGCAGCGACATTGCCGAGAAAATTTTCGTTTTCTACCCACTTCTGCGCCCCTGGGTGCTATTTCCTGGACTTCGTAAGTCTATATGTACTGTGTGTAAGTTCGTAGGCGGGTATTTGCGATAGTTCATGTATTTTGACACCTTTGTACGCGTAAAACGTAAAACCATTTTGCGTGTAAAACGTGCATACTATCTGTGATTCCATCGTAAATAACTCGGCTGATTCCAGCAGCGAAATTGGCGTCGTCTGCCCACGTAAAGCCGCCTATGTTAGTGAAGTGGCAGCGCCGACGCTGACAGATATCCGTGCTCCTGGACGTTGTCCACAGAAAGGCCGCAGTGGTAAAGGGTGGCCCCGCTGCCTCGATATTCGGGAAGTGGTCTGCCGTCGGTCAAACTACCCCTTTGGCGGCATGACGAGCTAAGGGGACAGTCAGCGAAGCAAAAGAAAAATCACATGCAAGTGAAACCTCAAATACGTGTGTTGTTGATTCAAATAGCGTGCACATGATCATGCTCATGAGCAAGATTACGCACAACGGTGCTGCCAATACTTCCAAGTATGGGAAGTTCACAAATGCGTGCCACCACGCACAGGTATTAACATGTGTATGCGAAAAGTGGCAAGCCTTGTATCTGTCGGTCACAATCACCATTCTAGGGGCCCCAACAACCCAAAGCTTGTGCCACACCAGCTGAGCTGTGTTGCGCAGTAGTCACGTCACAATATTCAACGTTATATTTATTTACATTTCAGTCAGTGCTCTTCAAGCTCTGCGACATTTAACATGCCTTGAACATAGAGTTCCCATTCTAAACTTGTCCATAAAACATGGGACATTCCATAATTTCTATAAGCCGAACTGTTCTTTCATTCATTTTCTCCCCTTGCCATGTGCATAAATCCAAAGCGTTTTCAGCGCTACTCAGCGGCTGTCCATGCCGAATATTGACTGGTATGTGGTGTTGTTTCAACCAGTTGGCCAGCATATGCCGGTCACGAGCCAGTCATTGAGTGACATCTCACAATGGCTAAAGCTAATCTAGCAGATTCCGTACTTTGTAATAAATGTTTTCACCATTTTTACCTTGAAGTGTCCAATACAGCGACCGATATTTGTTGTGTTTTGATTGAGAAAACGGTGCGTTGACCAGTGTGGCGCCACCATTCTTTCTTTTCGCTAGCAGAAAACAGGCAAATACACGGTTTTGAAAATCGTGCAAAACTCGTGCAAAATCATGTACTTCTCGTGCATTTACCGTACAAATGGGGCGAAACTGTGCAGCAACGATTGGGTGAGTGTACATGAAATTTACACGTTTTGGCGCGGTCTTTCGGTCCCCCCCCTCCCGGTTTGAAACCGTGTGTTTTAGACGACTTTTGACTTGTGATTACGAGACTGTTGCAGGATCCTATCTTTGTCGCCCTGGCCAGTCAGTTCTATGCAGCTCTTTTTATTAATCGCCATGTTCAATAAAATGCAACGGCAAGTGAGGAAAATGGCGCCCATTGCGGCGCCCCACGAGCAGCAATCAACTATTTTTTTCAATTCGCCGAGTCCCCCAAAACACAATCACAAGCTTTGAATATGGTGGCCAATATGGCGCCCCACGAGCAGGCTGCCTCCTTGGCGTCCGCCTTGGCAGTGAAAATTTGCAGAGGAAACATAGCGCGCCTTGGAATTTAAATTTCGTGCAGTGAAGATCGGGTGCCTGGGCATTTAAGATTCCGTAATTCTGTGATTCAACTGAGACCTATTCCATTTCTTCACAATCACCATCATTCATTTTCACAGAACAAGGCTAGGAGGTAGCCGTCAGATTCTAACTTTGTCCTTCAAAAGTGGTGTCCATGACCAATTAACTGACATGTAATGCACACCATGTTTGCCCAGTGTTAGCATCCGCCACCTGATAGTGTTAGCATCCACCCCCTCTCTGGGTTCGAAACATTTTCTTCTCCATGACCCAGTCATAGTATCCCCCCCCCCTAAAACGTCAATAAGCTCACGAGGGCTTCTTGGATTCGCTGCGAGGAGAGGAAGCTATTTTTGCTAATTTTTGCTAATTTTGCTATTTTCGCATATGTTTTCTTTTTGCATATTTTCGCTTGCACAACACTCTTGATGCACGGCTTCAATGTGCAACAACTACCGCAAACTGCTCAAACTATAGTGCCGGTGCGATGCACGTGATGGCTGCAAGCCTCGCAGCTTGAGCAGCTGTTATGATTGGGAAAGGAGTTGTCTGTTTGTCAAAAGCAATTGCAGGTCATATGTCCATGGCGCAATTACGGTCCTGGAGTCGTCTGCATTGCTTGGAATTTTATTGCGAGGAATGCACGGCATGAGGTTGAGGCAAAATTGGTGGAAGGATCTCATGAACTAGGAGAGGACTCGGAAGGTGTTGATGAGGATTTTGATGGTTTACATAAGATAGGGATACGGACAACGATTGGTTGTGAACACGGTTTTGCATTTCACGCTGGGATTTTGTGGTGGTCTTAGCATAATCCCTGACAATATGGAGTTGTCAGTTGTGTGGTGTCTATCCCTTTGCAAGTTGGTGATGTCGCTACCTGTGCATTTTGTTGTGCATTATTTTCAAGCACAGTTCTGGGCATTTTGCAGCTTAATTCCAGAATTTTCTTTGTCAACTCCCTGCACCAGGGGGGCAAACTGCGTTACTATCCATGAGCTACTAGTATCCGGCGGATACAATCCGCTGCTCATTTGGGGGCTCCGGTACACGGCACGAACATTGGGTGAACACGGTAACACAAAGCCCAGGAAGTCCATCGATTCCTGCCACCAAGAAGCGTTGACGAAGGGGTGGCGATCCCTGAACGGGAATTGTATGCTCGAGTCCACGACAACCGCTTACAGCCGAGGCAAAAGGACAACAAGCGTTCTGTCCTTTATATTCAGCCCGTTCATCAACATCCTTAATGCAATTCCTAGTGCTTCATCATATTTTCCTGCACTCACTTATTAACAACACTCAATCAGTTCCAGCCGTAACAGCGTGTGTCGAAGAGAACATCAACCGGGCTCCATTCCATTTTCGGCATCAAACCACGACAAGGATCCGTGACTCAGCCGCCAGCCGGCTCCCCCCCTGCCCCTGATTTGTTGATGCTCCCCCTGGACCCCCTCCGCCCGCGGCCATCCCCCCGTCGCCACAGCCCCGGCGGCCCCCACGCCCCCGCGAGTAGCAGCGCCGGGCGGCCACCGACCGGAGGAGAGGCGCCAGGCGGCCGGCAGCCGATCCCGCATCGGCCGAACGGCGGCACGCAGGTGGGCGCACGCTCACGGCGCGGCCCGAAGGGGCGATCTCCGCCACAAAAGCCGCGCGTTTGGCGGACGTGTGTGGGTGTGGGGTGGGGTGAGGAGGGTGCGGAGGGAGGGGGAGAGCTGTTTCTCTGCGATTCCAAAGGATGATGTTGGTGCTCGAGAGGCGGGAAAGGGGAGGGGAGAGGGGGCGGTTTGGGTGGGCAAGGTTGACCTCGGGGGGATGCGTGTGGGGGGTGATGATGCGCCCCGCGGGCAGATTGGCGGCCCGGGGTGGGCCCCGATGTGCTGGCGCACCCTCGGGATTGGTCCCCGCCGGGCGGAGTGCCGATCCTTTGCGGGCGCTCGCGGACGGACGGGGGCGCCCGGCCGGCCGCCGCGGCCGAAAAACGGGCGCGGAAGCGCGGTTTGGGGAGGGCACTCGGGCTCTGCCGCTCGCGTCGCTCGCCACTTGGCGCGTACCCCCCGCCCCACCCCGAAGGCTCTCGGCTCCGACGCCCCAGCGCCGGCGGTGTCGCGCTCGCCGCCGATCTCCCCCACGGCCGATCGCCGCGTCGCGGCACATTGAAGCCCTCGGGCGTCGGCCTCATCCGGTGGCGGTGGGGCCCCCGGATTTTGGCGCTTGCCGGCCGCGGCTGCCCCTCTCTGCCATTCCCTCCGAGCCTTTTTGCCTTCCCACGCTCCCATTGCTTGCCGGCTCCGATCGAGGATGGCCCCACGCTCTCCGCCTCCTTGCCCCCCCCCCCTCCTCTCCCTGCCTCTTTTTCGTCGGACTTGCCCCGCCTCCCTCCGCGGTGCCTCTGTCCGGGAAGCAGGGCATCGCCCGGCGGCGCTCTCGCTCCCCTGGACCGCTGGCTTGAGGGCGCCACCGTCGATCTCCGGAACAGCAACTCGAACCCTTGGACGCCGACACCGCCGCTCAGATGGGGTGCCCTGGACACGACCCCTTCCTCTTTCCCTCTGTGGCAAATCTGGGCGCCCCACGGCCCTCTGGGTGTCATCCTGGCTGTCGCTTCTGGGTGGGGACATCTCGTATCAGGCCCTGCGAGGGACTGGAATAGTTAGCTGAAGGCCAATTGGCCTTTTTTCCCTTCCCCCCTTGCTGATCCAAGCCGGCGGGTTTAGTGTACGGCTTTGAGCTCAGGTTGTGGAATTGTGGTGTGGGTGCAGGGGTCTGTGGTGAGCGATAATGGCGGAGTCGAATGGGGCGCCGCAGAAGCGGTTCCTCTACATCACAGTGCAGGAGGCCTCGGGGAAGAGCAAAGACCAGGAGGTGCTGTGGGAGCCGTCCTTCACGGAGGGGTTCGTCAGAGGTGGGATGGTCGCTCATGTCTCCGCTCTTTTGGAGGATGGGCTGCAGGGCCCCAAGAGCGCCTGTGCGCTGTATTGTGCTGCTGGATACACCGGTGCACCAAATATGCAGTGCATGACGGGGTTTGAGCTACTCAACGTGGATCATAGGTTCATTCCTGTTCAGAATGCTATTTCAGTCCAGTTGAGAACCTCAAGGTTTTCCTCTGCTCCACAATTCGCTGGTCTGTTGTGATTGCTGCCTGCCTCCTCCCAAGAATCAATAACTCTATTAGCCCTGGAGGCTTGTGCATGCGCACCCAGCTAGCACCCCCAGAAAGCTGTGTTGATCTGTCGTGCGCCGTTCCTGTTTAGTGCGCACTGTCCCTCTTGCCTTTGAAGCCTTCAGCATCATGATCGGGGGTGATCATTGTGCTGGGTGTCCAATGTATGACTGTTTGAGCAGACAGCCTGTTGGGCTTGACAATTGTCTCAATCTTCGCCACTGGTACATGATCTCTTGTTGTGAATTGTGCAGCACAAGCTGATGGCCTTGTGCCTGTAAGTTGACACTGTGTGCAATTGTACATGCTGCGATGTCAGCTGGCATTTTGTTTCCATTTTGTCCATCCGTTGCCTAGTTTGCCTTGTGGGTTGCGTGCCCACAGGACAGAATGCATGAAACAAGAAAACGTATGTGCACATGGATGCTTTTGCGTAATCAAAAGCACAAGACAAGAGGCCGTTGCACCTGATGATGATATGATGGTGCCCATGGTGTGGCTTGTCCTCTGTGCATCAACATCCCACTGGACACCCTCCAGCTGAGGATGGGAGCAAGTATCCTGTGCAAGCATTCCACTTGAAGGATGCACCCATCTGTTGATTCTCACAAGGAAGCACTGACTGATGCGCCTGTGCCTTGTGCCTCCTGGAATGTTGCCACTGATTGTCTCTGGGTGCCCTCCGTCATGCAGTGGAAGTGAGGGGTGGAGTGAAGACCATCAAGGTAGTTTCGACTCCACTCTCAGTTGCTTCCCACACGCAGCCATCTCCAAGTCAGTTTTCTGGAAGGAGCAGAAAGTGTTGTGTGCTTGACTGAAAATGGACACAGGGGTCTTGGTTGTCATGCTTTTGTGTGCATTTGACAGCTTGCCGCTGACATAATGACGCGCACCTAATCACCACCAATTGGCATTAGTGTTCACTTGTTAAGATGCCACACCACCAGTGCATCTGCCTTCAGCAGTGCGATGTTAAGATTGTGTATTAAGAGATGATGAAGAGGTCACTAAACAGGGTATGGCAGTGCGCCAAAGGATAATAGGACAACATCAAAGCAAAATATGACAGTGTCCAAGACGATAGTAAAGTATCACCAAAGTGGTGTAAGATAATGTGATAAAGGATAATGAAAAACGCCAAAATAAAGGTCAAGAGGCATGACGTGCTAAGGATGTTTTATCTTGCCAAAATGGAGGTGAACATACGCCAAAGGATGTGTTGTTTTATTGGACACAAATTGTGAGAAAGGAATAAGCACTGTGCTTGAGCTGATCAAGGGGATGGCGGCCCCTGGAACATTGTTATGTACTAGTCAGATCTTGAGTGTTATTTGCAGTGGCTGTTATATTTATTGTACCTTATTGTGTCATTGAATATTAAACTGTAGAACCTATGTGACATCAGTGAAGTTATGTGACTTGTTTTGTGTTATTGAAGTGGCTGGGAGTGTTGCTGTGCTTATAGTCCTTGTGGTATTTGTGCAGGCCAGCACTATGACCCAGAGTGTGCAGAATTTGTCGATTTCGTGGAAACAAGAGTTGCGAGTGTGAGTGACAGCACTGTTTTGCCCTCGATTCTAGACTGGTTCATTGTGCATCGTTTGTGCCGAGTTCACATCAACAGTCGGCCGAGTACTTGCCAGTGCTGTCTGTGGCCCAACTCTGTTCAGTCCATGTGCCCCCCAACTGTTACCAAGGGAGTTCAGCCTGGAAAATGAGGAATGACTTGGGCCCAGCCAATGATATTGCGCTGCTCATCAACGCTAAGGAATGATAGCTGTGCCAGCTTGGTGGGTTCGGACTCCAATTCGATGTTGGTGGCAGAAATAGCGAAAGCTTTAGTGCGAATTAACTTGGCTTCTGGTGCACAGCGAGGTGACCGATGACTCGAAAGAGCTGCGCATAATGCTGTGCAAGGAGAGGCCCAGGGATGCGTCGACTGGAGCGCAGCGGCGCAACACAGCTATTCTGGCGGCATGTGGTGCAGTGCGACTCTTGTGCTTGCAGTGCCTAAATGTTTATACAACAGTTCCGAACATCAGTTCCACTGCTCAGAATTTGTTTCTGAAATTTCAATGGACAGTGCACAATGCACTGTTGGAAAGTTGAAGATTGGACAGACTGTGGACAGAAGGCATTAGCAAGGACAAGTGACCTTCAGCACATTTAGATAAACTCATATTCCCTGAAGAGATCAGTACTCAAGCAACAATTTGTCAGGGCACAGCCATTCTCTGCGATGCTTACATACTGCTGTGTAATGGCATTCCAACTTCCACTTTGGACACAGCTGCCTTGTGGGCATAGTGTTTACCCAATGCTTTATCATCGGAGTCTGGCAAATGAATGCCTGGGCAGCGCATAGCTGTCTGTGCTGGCATCTTACTTTGGTGGTTGTGCGACCTGCAAAGAGGTCTGATAGTTTTTGTGTCCACTTCACTGCTTTCCACCACCTCGATGTCAAGATGCACTTTACTTGATAACGAGGCATCTCGATCCCCACCCATCCACCGCCGCCTTGAGGTGCTTGCTGCCCGTGCTTTGCCACTGGCCCTCATCGCCTGCAATGCTAAGACAATGAGGATTGTTCAGAAATCTGCAACAAACATATTTTTTTTGGTTATTTGCAAAGTTATGTTTAATTGACATTCCCAACAGTGCCTTTGGATCAATGCAGAAGCGAGACCAATCGCCACGCAATTGCTTGGGTTGTGTGTTGGGCTGTAAAAATGTGAGGAATCCCGATGTCAGGAGAATTTCATCAGTGAAGCCGAGGATATGGACCGCAAAGCAGACATTGCTGGATGTTGATGCTCCAAATATTGCCGCCAAGTATTGCTTGGATGTTTATGTCCCAGTGATCGCCTGACAGGTGCTAACGACTCTGCTTGTGCGTTTGCTTGATAATGCAATCCATACACAATTGCTGAAACGAAACACGACTGATAAGAAAATTGCACGGTTTTCATGGCAGGAATCTATGTCAAGGATGTCCTTGAGGCTGTCCCCATCGACAAGTACTTTGAGCTATTCAAGCCGAGCACAGCTGACAGCCAGGAGCGCGCTCTGGGTGGCTTTATTCGTGTGACACTCCGGGGAACAAGCGCCAACCAAGGCCGGATACCCCCTGACCCTGCTCGCAAACCTGCTGGTGAGGGAAGCCGTTCGTTCATCGTCGTGGTTTCGATTTATGCAATGTATGTTGTATACAATTGATTTTTGTTCATTCTCCTCTTTGGTTTTGGATGCTGTCTGTACATTCAGCAGAGTTGATTGTGTTCATTCTCCTTTTTTCTGGATGCTGTCCGTACATTCAGTTCAGTACATTCAACCAAGTGCTGCCCAGGCATTCAGCTCGGTCGTATGTGTTGTTAACACATGCCATGCATGCAATGCGTCACGCATCGAAGGACTGGGTGCAGTCGCGGAGCTGTGTGCTCCAAAGGGCTGTCTGCCAAGAGAGCATAGATGGGGGTTTTTCCATTTGGCAGCATCTCACAGTGTTCTGGTGACGTTGTGCTTGTGAGTGCCAGTACCAGGACAGTTCTGAGGGCTGTTGGGGTGCCACACAGACTTGGCGTAAAATCCTCTTGGTGTCAGGATAGGCTTCCACCCAGGGCAAAAAGCTGTGCATGACTGGGAGGGGTATCAGAGCAGTGCACTGTTGTGTAGGATGCGTGTTTCTACATCGGTAGGATTGATGGAAATGTGGCTGTGTGCTGCGCCTGAAGCCTCAAGAGGATGTCAGGGTGCTGAGAATGCAGTGGTCAACAAGCCAGTGGGCTTGTCCATTGGGCTCATTCAGTTGTCTAGGCACTATGGCTGTGGCACTTAGATACCTGCAGAATTATGCTTTGTTTGGGCATGCGATATTATTGGCATGTGTATTGCGATATTCTTTCCTGAGGTGTCCAGCTGCACCAGGGAAGCAGGGTTGCCAATGACATGGTTGAGCTCCTGCCACGGGACTTGGTACTCAACGAGACTTTGTTGCATTCACATAGAGAAAGCACTGAAAGTATTTGCCAATTGCCACACACATAGTAATGCTAATCGAAACGATAGTAATGGTGGTAATTGCAGTTAAAATAATACCCTTTAATGATGGTTGTAATGCAAGTGAAAGTACTTACTACTCACTAACTGTTCAGCAAGGTACACTAGTGCTATGTTACTTTGTACTGTAGTGTAAGAAAGAAATAGTTCTTTGCAAGCAGTAGAACTTTGTACTATTGTGCTTAGCTGCACTGTACTGTACTTAGTTGCTCAAACTTTGCCTAGAAGGGATTTGCCCTGCTTGTCGAGTTTGGGCATGCGTACCCAAGAGCACAGCCCTACATGGCATCTCCAATTCCTTTCTTTCTGAGCCTTGTATCTAAAAACCAGTAGATTTGTCGATTTCTTGTTGCCATCTCTCCATCTATACTTTGTTGGCATTCTTAGTTGAGGACTGAGAGGCTTGCATTGGTTTTGTCTTGCATTGCCATCTCTTCATCCGCATTTGTGTAAGTAAAGTGCATTCCCAATTAACAACTCCGACGACAATATGCAGGCTGGCAATGCATTTTGTGGTAATCCAACCTGTCTGAATTCCTGCAAGAAAGTGTGGAGCCGAATTCTCAAATGAGGCTGGCAATGCATTTTGTGGTAATCCAACCTGTCTGAATTCCTGCAAGAAAGTGTGGAGCCGAATTCTCAAATGAGAACTCCAAAGGCAACACACAGGCTGGAAGTGCTTTTATGTTGCTAGCTCTCCATGTGTGTTTCTGTAGTATAGTTTTGAGTTTTGCATTCTCAGTTGAGAACCATGACGAAGGCCCACAGGCCCACCTGTCCTAAGACAAGTGGGCTCCATCAAGGTGGGTTGATTTGGTGAACCAGTGTGAGCAGGCAAAGGCTACAAACAATCATTCGATGTTCGCTGGCTCTGCATGGGCTGTTTTAGTGGCTAGTTGGTCAGCAGATGCAGCTGTGCCTGTCCTTTCCAGTGCCCCTTGCCGGTGACCAGTATTGCTTTTCCATTGACAGGATTATCTGCTGATGTGGCAGCTGCTGTTCAAGGCCGGATCCAACAGCAAGCATCATCAGGGGCGCCACAGCAAGGGGGAGGCGGGGGCAAACGGTACAGGCAGATATGCAGGAGTCAAGCAGTCGTTCGGATTGTTGATCGATGCGATCATGTGCATGACTGTCACACCATGAGTTTGTCTTATAGACACAGTGTTGCCCAAACTCCTAATCGACGGTGCCCATTGTACACAATTTGAATTCACCTGAAAGGGTATCTGGGAAAAAAAAACTCAAACCCCAGGCAGCTAAGTTGAGAACCAGTGTCTCGCCCCATTCTGTCCCATTTCTGCTATTGCAGTCCAGCTGAGCAAGTGGTGGACGGCATGCGCAGAACTGTTGTGAACCTGTATCTGCATCTTTAGTCATCGTCCAGATAATTGTTCGGGCAAATGCTGTTCCCATCGGTTGTGCATGTCTTCAACTGGATTTGTGATCACAGCTGACACATTTCGCAAGGGGCTGGAAGGTTGTTTGTTGGTGAGGGCGGATTGGCTCAGCCAACATACAGCCTGTATGTTAGGTCAATCTTGGTGGGCCTTTGGAGCCTGGGGAATGGGGTACATGGGCCACACAGAGTACATGCAATCGTTGCATATGCAAGGCTAGGGGGGAGGGGGAGGAGGTGTACAGCCACGAATAGCATGCCTTATAAATGGCGTGTGTGCAGTACGAAGGGGATGTGAAACATGTTTTGGATGCGCCTCACGATTGTATGCTTGTTGATGCTTATTGCTCCACCAGCCTCCCATGATCTCCACGCTCTGCTGCATCTGTGGCCATCACGTTGTTCAGAAAAACGAGGGCCTCATCCATTGTTGCTCAATCTTTGCGTTGGTCACGGTATTGCGATCGCCGACGTTGTGACCCATGCCTGTGCCTGCCCGCAGCATCGGTCGCATCATATTGCTCTGCGGCGTGGCAGCTGCGATAGCCGTCATCAAGACACTGCAGTCCAGGAAGAAGTGAGTGCTCCCGCCAGGGCCTCAGCCCAGGGGGCGCGGTGAGACTGTGTGCTTGTGCTTGGGGACCATCACGGGTGTGTCAATGCGACCACTCCAGTTGCTCACTCTTTCCGCCTCCCATCTCAGTGGTTTCAACCCTCCCTCACGCCCATTGCGGTGATCAATGCACAGTAGCTTCCAGCCGTGTTTCCTCAGGGCCGCAGACTCATTCCGAAAGGGGCGGGGTTCCTTGGAGTTGCAGATTCACTGGGGCGAGACGATAATGTGTGTGCGTGTTTGCATGAAATCTGTTAGTCGATTATGGGATTGTGTGGCTGTCACGTGGCTGCACGTGTGGCAAGCCATGGGCGACCGGGAACAGAGAGGTGGGCGAATTTGATGTTCGTGTATGACAGCTTTGCGCATGTGACAGACATGGGAAGATGTAATGGGCATTGGATTT